TGGTTTATAAGTAAAAATTCCAAATAGTTGGAATAAAATTGTTTATGGATTATCTTTTAGTGATTTATTATGAACAATTTTTATTAATATCATTCTCATCTACAGTTTTTAATTTTTAAGATAAAAGTGTAGATGTTGTTTAATGCGTCAAATTTGAAATCTTTCGCGTTTTAAGTCCGCTATGTTGGTAATGAACATAGTTGGAATACAACCGTTTATAGATGATGTTTTGATGGTTCATTATAAACATTTTTTATACACAACATTTATTCCTAATATTTCTAATTTTGAAGTTATAAAATTTATTATCCAAAAACGTCAGTTTAGAGATTTTGAGATTTTATGGTTATAAGTAAAAATTCGAAATAGTTGGAATAAAATTGTTTATGGATTATCTTTTAGTGATTTATTATGAACAATTTTTATTAATATCATTCTCATCTACAGTTTTTATTTTTTAAGATAAAAGTGTTGATGTTGTTTAATGGGTCAAATTTGAAATCTTTCGCGTTTTAAGCCCGCTATGTTGGTAATGAACATAGTTGAAATACTACAGTTTATAGATGATGTTTTAATTGTTCATTATAAACATTTTTTATACACAACATTTATTTCTAACATTTCTAATTTTGAAGTTATTATAAAATTTATTACCCAAAAACGTCAATTTAGAGATTTTGAGATTTTATGGTTTATAAGTAAGAATACGAAATAGTTGGAATAAAATTGTTTATGGATTATCTTTTAGTGATATATTATGAACAATTTTTATTAATATTCTCATCTACAGTTTTTAATTTTTAAGATAAAAGCGTTGACGTTGTTTAATGCGTCAAATTTGAAGTATTTCACGTTTTAAGTCTGCTATGTTGGTATGAACATTGTTGGGATACAACCGTTTATAGATGATGTTTTGATGGTTCACTATAAATATTTTTCATACACAACATTTATTCGTAATATTTTTAATTTTGAAGTTATTATAAAATTTATTATCCAAAAACGTCAGTTTTGAGATTTTATGGTTATAAGTAAAAATTCGAAATAGTTGGAGTAAAATTGTTTATGGATTATTTTTTAGTGATTTATTATGAACAATTTTTATTAATATTCTCATCTACAGTTTTTAATTTTTAATTTTTGAGATGAAAGCGTTGATGTTGTTTAATGCTTCAAATTTGAAGTGTTTCGCGTTTTAAGTCCACTATGTTGGTAATGAACATAATTGGAATACAACAGTTTATAGATGATGTTTTGACGGTTCATTATAAACATTTTTTATACACAACATTTATTCCTAACATTTCTAACTTTGAAATTATTATAAAATTTATTATCCAAAAACGTCAATTTAGAGAATTGGAGATTTTATGGTTTATAAGTAAATATTCGAAATAATTGGAATAAAATTGTTTATGGATTATCTTTTAGTGATATATTATGAACAATTTTTATTAATATCATTCTCATCTGCAGTTTTTAGTTTTTAAGATAAAAGCGTTGACGTTGTTTAATGCGTCAAATTTAAAGTGTTCCGCGTTTTAAGTCTGCTATGTTGGTAATGAACATAGTTGGAATACAACAGTTTATAGATGATGTTTTGATGGTTCATTATAAACATTTTTTATACACAACATTTATTCCTAATATTTCTAATTTCGAAGTTATTATAAAATTTATTATCCAAAAACGTCAATTTAGAGATTTTATTGTTTATAAGTAAAAATTCGAAATAGTTGGAATGAAATTGTTTATGGATTATCTATTAGTGATTTATTATGAACAATTTTTATTAATATCATTCTCATATACAGTTTTTAATTTTTAAGCTAAAACTGTTGATGTTGTTTAATGCGTCAAATTTGAAACTTTTCGCGTTTAAAGTCCGCTATGTTAGTAATGAACATACTTGGAATACAACAGTTTATAGATGATGTTTTGACGGTTCATTATAAACATTTTTTAATGCACAACATTTATTCCTAACATTTCTAACTTTGAAGTTATTATAAAATTTATTATCCAAAAACGTCAATTTAGAGATTTTGAGACTTTATGGTTTATAAGTAAAAATTCGAAATAGTTGGAATAAAATTGTTTATGGATTATCTTTTAATGATTTATTATAAACAATTTTTATTAATATCATTCTCATCTACAGTTTTTAATTTTGAAGATAGAAGTGTTGATGTTGTTTAATGCGTCAAATTTGAAATCTTTCGCGTTTTAAGTCCGCTACGTTGGTAATGAACATAGTTGGAATACAACAGTTTTTAGATGATATTTTGATGGTTCATTATAAACATTTTTTATACACAACATTTACTCCTAATATATCTAATTTTGAAGTTATTATAAAATTTATTATCTAAAAACGTTTATTTAGAGATTTTATGGTTTATAAGTAAAAATTCGAAATAGTTGGAATAAAACTGTTTATGGATTATCTTTTAGTGATTAATTATGAACAATTTTTATTAATATCATTCTCATGTACACTTTTTAATTTTTAAGATAAAAGCGTTGGGGATTTCGCCCAACTAATTTCTTTTTTAATTCTTTCATTTTTAGCGAAACATTTTCATTGTTAGAACGTTGGCAAGAATCTTGGAACAAAATCGTGCAATTAGAAGAAAAGGCATCAGCCCCCGGTCGCTTCAAAAACCGCGGGGGAACTTTATTGCAAGAAGAGAAAGAACGCAATGCCCTCCAAAAAAGAATTCCAAAATTCGAAGAGCGCCTAATTGAATTAGCCAATAACTATAAAATGCGAACAGGGCACAACTTCTTATCATGGGGCGAAAAAATAGAAGATTTAATTTCAAAAGCCCACAACGATTACAAAATTGAAAAGGACATCAAACTTAGCGCTAGGAAACAACAAAAAGGACTTACACCTGGGGGATCAACGCTTTGCTTAACATCCGCTGTAAGCGGGAGCAGATTACGTTTGGATATGATTACTCCGAAATCAGCGAGTAAACGCCCTCCACGAACGGCACTTTTTTCTGGTAGTAACAAAAAGCCGAAAGGTAGGTTTGATAAATTTATTTAAAATGTATACTAATTTTTAGAGAATTAAATTTGCAGTAACTCCTAATAAATTGGCCGTGCCGTTAATTCAAATTAACGAACAAGTTGTAAAGCGTCGTTCTAGAACATCTATGGAACGACAAAAATGTTTGCGTAAGATTAGAAACATTGCGACGGGGATTAAAAAAAGGGAGGAGATGAAATTAAATACCACTTTTGTGGATTACGATATATTCACTGTAAGAAATACTAATTTAAACTTTTCTGGTCAATTTTTCATATTTATTTTTAGGGGGAATTACAAGGAGATCATCGAAGTACTTGTGTATTTGAAAATACATCCAAACCAACCCAAGCCCCTTCAAATTAATAATCAGATTATTTTTAGTTTGTCAGCAATATTTTTTACATTTCATTATTAGTAGGTCCTTTAATTTGTTTATTTTAACTTTTAAGATTAGATTTAATAATTTTATTTGTATTGTGAGAATATATGGATTATTAGCGTTTATTTGTTATCAGAAGTGAAATATTTAGAGTTTAACCTAGCTTAATATTTAAAATTAACCATATCATAAAAGCTTATTAATACACTAATCAAAATACACAGATTAGTAACTTTAAAGTTAATTAAACGCATTGATGGAGATCAATTGTAACTTTAAAGTTGCAAATTTGTGTACTAATTTTTATAATATAAACAGTATAAGAATATTATAAAGTAACTAAACAAATATTTCGTCGACCTCATTTACTTTATCCTATCTCAAGTAATCCATACATATTTATCTATCACCTGTTTCTAGTGAAGAAGAAGAAGAAAACAATATTTATTTGGACTGTATAAAAATTATAACAATAAGAAATACGAAAAAAAATACATATATAAAATAAATATAAAAAGAGTCCAAAAGGGCTATAGACCTGAGTCTTCCTGCCCGTGATTTTGAATTCGGTTTGGTTGTACTTGGGTCTTCTCAGTTGGGCCTTATTTTTTTAAGAAGTGTGAGTCGTGTTATAGGACAGCTGGTAAGGGAAAGGGGAATGATGATGAGATTTTTTAAGGCGTTTTTGGGGAAGTTCATAATTGCTTTAAGGGCTAAGGATTGTAGACGGGAGTTTATAGGAGGAATCTTTGTAAGGTCGTAAAGGAGTTCGTTGGACGGGTTGAAAAATGGGTTGTGAGGGTGTCTGATGCGGGTGATAATTCTCAGGGCTGCTCTCTCTGCTACTTCCAGATGGTACTGTGATTCTCTCGGCGCTTCAGTCTTGATTAATGAGGCATATTCGATAATAGGTCGGCATATTGAGGTGTAGATGTGAGTAGCGCATTTGGTGGATATCCCTTGGCCTCTATATGAGTGTGAGCGGAAGTGTTTGGCGCGGTTTTTGAGTTTCATTTTTACCTTGATGGCGTGGGCAGAGAATTTAAGGGTTCTATCCAAGGTAATGGCGAGGTACTTGCAAGTTGGTGAATCTGTGATAGGAGAAGATTGAATTATTATTGTGGTAGGAGCAACGCGAATAGGGAGGAAGGGGATGAAGGATTGGGTTTTGGAAGGATTTATCAGGATACGCCATTTTCGGTACCATTCCTCTATGTTTTGGATGAGCGTCTGCAGCCTTAGNCGACTTTTGGTACTTCGAAAGTTTGCGGACTTCTTGCCAGTAGTTTTTACCCTTGCTTCTGTTGATTTTATCACAGGCCTCAATGTATTTTTCACTTCTGAATTGCTGCACTAGCTTTTGGATATTTTTATTAAGCTCATTGAACATTCTTTTCAGAGCAAGCTCCTCATAGGATCTAAAATCGCGTCTGTTTTCTTTAATTAAACGGAGAATAAATGGTGGCAGAGGAAAATTGTAATGTTTCTTGTTGTAAGATGGGCTCGCTTCATCCACCAAATTAAGCAAGCGTTTATTAAAGGTTGCGATAGACTCGTTTGTGATAACAGGATTAGATCTCACATATTCCTTTATTCCTGCGTTCACTCTTTCCATATTACAAAGTTTATAGTTTTTGATCAGAGTAGGAGCTACTGTTATATAATGTAGTAACATTATTGTTATTTATGTTGGTATCGGAACAACTTCATGTTGCTGGCACGTTCCCGCCAAGACAATAATAAGAGAGACGCTTGCATGTCGCTTGTTTGTACTTGTTTGGACTTGTATAAAAATTATAACTGTTGGTTAATAAAGTAAATACAATATAATAGTTGTTGATGAATTATATGAACGCTGGTAGTTCGCTTTATTGATAAACAGAACATAAGATACTACTTTAGGTATTCGAGTGGTTGTATTAATGCAGATCACAAGACCCAGATGGTCAGAGCACAGATCAGGAATGACATTAACAGACGTGATGAGCGGTCTTATGTTGTTTGTGCAGAAGATTAAATCAGGCTTGGAGTTGGGATTANCGACTTTTGGTACTTCGAAAGTTTGCGGACTTCTTGCCAGTAGTTTTTACCCTTGCTTCTGTTGATTTTATCACAGGCCTCAATGTATTTTTCACTTCTGAATTGCTGCACTAGCTTTTGGATATTTTTATTAAGCTCATTGAACATTCTTTTCAGAGCAGGCTCCTCATAGGATCTAAAATTGCGGTGGAGTCGTCTCTTTTCTTTAATTAAACGGAGAATAAATGGTGGCAGAGGAAAATTGTAATGTTTCTTATTGTAAGAAGGGCTCGCTTCATCCACCAAATTAAGCAAGCGTTTATTAAAGATTGTGATAGACTCGGGTGTGATAACAGGGTCTCACATATTCCTTTATTCCTGCGTTCAGTCTTTCCATATTACAAAGTTTATAGTTTTTGATCAGAGTAGGAGCTACTTTAGGTAATCGAGTGGTTGTGTTAATGCAGATCACAAGACCCAGACGGTCAGAGCACAGATCAGGAATGACATTAACAGACGTGATGAGCGGTCTTATGTTGTTTGTGCAGAAGATTAAATCAGGCTTGGAGTTGGGATTATTTGCCATGACAAACGTCGGAGGTGTTGCGATGCGCACAAAATTTGACATATTCACAAATTGGTTGATGTGTCTGTTTTTGGCTGGGTTTGGGTTAAAGTCACCGATTATTAGACAATTGTCGTACCGTGCAGCCATGTTAAATATTGTTTCTTCTATCTTACTAAAAGGATGTATATAAACCAACAATATATGTACTCTTTCTGTGCCAATCATAAAAGTAAAATGGAGGGCGTTGTTTAGTGGAGAATTTATTCTGGGAGGATTAGCTTTTCCAATTTGTAATGCAGGATCACCCATAACCACCTCTGACATCCCTGTTCACAATATTTCCCAATTCTTGAATCATTGTCCAATCCCTGAAGTTAATTGGCGATTTAGCTTTAGTTTCAACGAATATCGCACCGTGAATGCAGTTTACAGAAATATAATTTCCAATTAGGTGTTTTTTTGGGACATAGCTGTTAATGTTTGCATACAGTAACTTTATCTCAGTCATTGCTGATCTTGCAAAATCATGGTTTGGGTGCCGTGGATCGGTTCGGTGGGTGAAGGTTTATTTGCGTCTTTTAGGTCAATCATGATTATATACATTTAGCTTCCCGAAAAAGCAACGATTGTGTCAATTTGATGATGCTCAATGAATCTACGTTTTAGGGCATTTAAAAGCTCTTGTCGATCCCGCGGCTTGGGAGAGTTGATTTTTGTGAGATAAGTGTCGATAATTTGATCGTGGATCGTAACAGGCTTTCTTTGATAGTTTTGTTCATGATTTCGTCTGATTTTTTGTTAGCCGATTTAATTCTAACATTGGGGACGCCTTGTATAGGTGCTTTTGGTCGATTTTTGCATATCATAGACCAGGCACTATGGCCTTCAATGCCACAGGACCTACAGTTCTCTGGTAGTTGGGAGGTACATTTGGTGGTGCTGTGTGGACCCAAGCATTTGGAGTATTTTACTGGAACATTACATTTATCGGTCGTGTGACTAGTGATTTTTCTTTATAGTGACAAATAAAACTGATGGAAAAAGACGTTATGAATAAAAAAATGTTCCTAATGCACCAATAAATCATAATCCATAATTATTTCATGTATGTCTATTGCCAGTTTGTAATGATGTAGCATAAAACAAAAATGTCATCTTTAAAGTTATCAATCTGTGAAGTAATTTTTATAATATAAACAGTATGAGTATTATTTTATAAAGTTACTAAACGAATATTATATCGTTCTCATTTATTTTTTTCTCTCAATTTCCAATATTTGATTAATCACCTTTAAACCCACAATTAAACTCTAAATTTCCGCTTAATTCGTCATAAATGTTCCTCTCAATCAATATTTTTGCTAATAAATACATGTAGGTCGTTAGATCATCAAAAAACATGAAGAGATTAGGACGACCACGTGACTTGAGGAGCTTGAGGAATATTTGTCTATTAATATTAACCGACTTGTTCTCACTGTACAAAATTTAGAATACCAAAAACATTCGTTGAAACTATTGAAAAGTACAGTTCAGAAAAAAACAATTCATAAAGGAATAATTTTTCCTAGCAATATTGCAAAAATAATAAAATGAAACTGATTCCAGAAGAAACAAAAAATAAAGTAGTTTTGGAAATTATTGATCATTTTCATCAGACTGTTCGTATTCATAAGCACAGTTATGACAAATACGTCTGGCATGTTCTAGACAGATACATTTTCGGCAGTTCGAACATCTAAATCGAGTAGGTCTATTTTTTTCCTATCATACTAGAAACACAAGAAAAGTCAGAAACATGTTACCAGCAGACAAGGGGAATGCCACCGTTGTTATGGACAGGAAAGAATAGGACGACAAAATGATGAACCTACTGGACCCAGCCACCTACAGGAAGATCAAGAAGGACCCCACAGACAAAATCGTAAGAAAAATGAAGGAACTGATAAAATCCACAGGAATTCCAGCAGAAAGGTTTGTTTGTGGAGGCGCCAGTACCACCAAGAATCTACGGACTACCGAAGATTCACAAACCAGACATTCCCCTCCGCCCTATCGTCAGCGCCATCAACTCCCCAACATACCAGCTGGCCAAACATCTTGCAAAGATTCTGTCTCCCTTTACAGGTAACACGGAATCGTATGTCAGGGATTCTACACATTTTGTAGAATAGGTAATAGGTGTAAAGCTGGATGCTGGGGATATGTTGGTAAGTTTCGATGTGGAATCCCTTTTTACTAGGGTACCAGTTAAGGATGCTGGTCTTCGCCGAAAACTCATTCCGGAGGGTTTACCAGAATACGTGCCTGATCTGGTGGAGTATTGCTTATCATCGACGTATTTCAGCTGGAGACGAGAATTTTACAAGCAGTTCAAAGGGGCGGCCAAGGGATCTCCCCTATCGCCAGTTATAGCTAATTTCTACATGGAATTATTCGAAGAGGACGCTTTGAAGAAGAGCCAGTGGAAACCAAAACTACGGCTCTGATATGTGGAAGACACGTTTGTGATATGGTAACATGGTCAAAAACGGCTCCAAGAGTTCTTGGATCACTTGAACTCTCAACATCCTATGATTAAGTTCACCATGGAAACATAAACTGCCAAAAAACTACCTTTCCTAGATGTGTTGGTCACCAGGACGACAAATGGAGACATAGAACTTGGTGTATATCGAAAGAAGACCCATACCAACAGGTATTTACAGGCATGTTCACATCATCATCCGCAACAGAAGAGGTCTGTTATCCGTACATTATTTCAGCAGCGAGACCATGTGAAGGAGAGAACTTGCAGAAGGAGCAACACTTTCTACGAGGCGTGCTGCAGAATGGATACACTTCGAGGGACATCAACCAGGCCATCAAGCAGCGAAAGCAGAAAGAGGATACGGTAAGTACAAAATCACTTGGATTTATCTGTCTTCCCTATGTTTCAGGTGTAACGGAACGAATTGCTAGGCACCTTAAGAAGAACGACATCGTAGTGCGGTACGGCACGGTCAGCAAAATTCGGAACATACTCCTGATAGCCAAGGACAAAGTAACTCCATTAAAAGGAGCGTAAGTCTACCGACTATCGTGTAGTTATGACAATATATGCTTCCATAGGCTTAAAAACAACTTCACATCTAAGTTACCAAGAACGATGAAATTAGTTCTATACAAACCTTTCTGGTTTGTCTGACGTCCAATATTTCCTAGCTCATTTGGCGTTAACCAGGGTGCACCACGAGGAATCGAACTAGCATTACACCCCATGGTGTGTATTAAGTAAGAAAACAGCGATAACCTTTATCAAACCATCCTTGTGACGGCTTACCAAGAGATGGAAGATGCGCTTCCCCACAGCCTTTACATCACAAGCAAACAGAAATGGTTAGAAACGATAGTAAACCTGAACCTTCATAATTCAAGCCACCAAGCATGAACTTTGCTGAGGAAATTGGGCAGGGGAACACCTTCCGAAAGACAAAAAGCAAACATCTCTCTAAATACCATTGCCTCCCACATAGCTGCAATCACTAGTACACCAAAAGACATAGTACTCACGAACCTGTAAAATGAGGTGACGGAAACTGAATATGGTTTTGGCGTTCAGAGAATTCACGTCAGGAAAGGCACCACGACTCGACAGTATCAACCCAGAATTCCTAAGAGCTACAGACCCATCGCATTATTATCAGTAACATACAAATTACTTGAAAGGCTCATCTATAACAGAATGTGTCAGAGACTGTTTGATGTAATACCAATCGAACAGGCAGGTTTCAGGCAAAACGAATCTACGTTGACCAGGTATTGTTGCTTTCAACTTATATTGAAGTGGGATTCCAAAGAAAGCTCAAAACTTTTGCTGCATTCATTCATCTGTTTGGAGAAAAGGCATGATCTGTAAGTTCCTCCGGGTTATCCCATGTAAATCTTTAGCTCACCTGTTAAATATTTTGCTGAATGACGGAATATTCTGAATTGTCATGGGTCTGATGTGAGAATCGATGCTCTGCTCAATTACAAGATGAGAATGATCGCAATGGTTGTCAAATCTACTACAGTGGAATAGCTCCCAGTAATGAGCCACCCCAAACCTGCGCAGCATAAATACCTTCACGAGAGAGTACAAGAAGATCTTGAGCAACCTCACGCTTGGTGTCGAAAGTGGGTAGTAAATCGATTGAAAATGGAAGATTGCTCTAGGTCCTCTAGGACAACCTATAATGACTACTTGAAGATTTCATCTGATTTAAAGAATTTTATTGTTGTTTTATTTTGTCTTATATTTTATAATCTAATTGCGGTGTGTCACGACGTTAAATAAATATGACTCATAGGTCTCTGGTTAATGTGGACTACGGGTGGAAACATGGACGTTAGTGCAGAAAGACAGAGGCACTAAAGAGATTTGAAAGAAAGAATATATGGCGCCGTTAAAAACAACGGTGTTTGGCATCGGCGTTACAACTTTGAGTCAGAGATAGTTAAATTTATCAAAGTACAAAGGTTGAGATGGTTTGGCCATATATCCAGAATGGACATAAAAAGTAGAAGTGGGTAGAAATTTGATTAGGAGGCTGAAACGACGATTTGTGGACAATGTGGAGAAGAAGCTAAGAAGGCTGAACTTCAGGGGTTGGAGACGACAGGCGCAAGATAGACAAGTGTAGAAGGATTTGTTGAAGCAGGGCAATGTTCACAACGAGCTGTAAAGCCAAGCATGACGATGATGATCAAACCAGTTTTTGAATTCATCATTGTTTAAAACGACAACAATGTTTTGCTGCTTACACAAATGATTTAATATAACAATCATTACAAAAAAATTGTAAAATATTTGTTTACAAAAAAGTAGATTTTAAATTTAAATCAAGGCAGAAACACCGCATTTTTTGGTACGTATTTTAAATATTTTTTAAAAGCGTTGTCCATAATCCCGGCTAAAACTTGCTGAAACGTCGGTTGAAGAATCCCAAATAAATCTTTCCAGTTTTCGTTTAATAGGCGATTCGTTGCTTTACCTAAAACATATTTTAAATTAGATTTATTAATTATCTCCATATCATTTTAGGATTAATGAAATACCTAACGATTTATTTCCATTAAACAAGTTTTGGAAATCAAATTTGGCTCCTGTAGGGCTAAAAGTTGTTTTCCCACCTTCAACTCCATAACGTTCGATTCCTTTTTTATCGGTAAATACTTTCAATTTTGTTGTGTATGTTATAAAAGAATCAGCTGCAAAATTATTTTTAAAATTAATTTATTAAGCTGTAATTACTTTTTTTTACTGAAATTAAGCAACAGAGGTCCATTTCCTTTTATATTAGAACCGAGGAATTTAATATCCATTTCATAATAAGATATTGCATCCATTTTAGCATCGATGTATTTCAGGTAAAATTCCCCTGTTTCTTTATCAAAACCAGCATCTTGCACTTTCATAGTTTTGAACGCTGTATAATTTGAATTGGCTAAAGTTATTTTGGCGCCATCACCGATTTTTATTTCAATGAATGGTATGTTAAAGGGAACGATAATCGAAGGAGCTGCATTTTGGATTGAACGAACCAAGCAATTTCTTAATTTTGGATCCGATAAACCACATCTTTCTATGAAAGGCGCTGAAAAATTCCAAATTACTCAATCATTTTTGGTATAAATAATATTAAAACTTACGTAGGTCTTTCCCAAAAGAGCTCACAAACAAGCAAAGAAACGCGAAGGCGATTTTGTATGACATCTCGTTTGATACTAAAACCTTTTTGAGTTTCATCTTAAATATGTATCGAAAATTACTTGGTTTTGTTGTGGTAAAAATGATTAAATTATTTTTAAAGCTTAATATGTTAATGCGATTGCAGTTTATAGCCGATTTATTTGGCTGGCCTTGTATCATTTTGTGGATTAAATATAAAAAGGTGAAGGTGGTACATATAAAGAAGGAAATAATGTAAGTTGTTTAAATCAATTCAAGGTTTTCAGGTTCAACGAAATATAATATTTAGTCATTTCCATTATAGTTCGGTTTGTATATTATTTAGATTTTGAGATAAAATAAAATTCTTAATAATAACATAAAAAGAAGTCAAAAGCAAAACAATAAGAAATATAGAACCTCCAAATCTTCTATCCCCAACCACAAGTTGTTGGGATTATCCTACCATCTATCATGAATTCAAACATCGCAGTCCAGGAGCAGAAATTGAATCAGACCATATACCCATGGTATGACTCATGAAGGTAAGATTGAAGAAAATAAAGAAAAAAGCTGGTATTAAATATGATATGATAACTCTTCAACACCCCCTAGTAAAGCAAAAGGAAATCACTAAACTTGAGAAGATAGTAGAAGCAGCAAAGAAGGAGTTCTTACAACCAACTAAAAAAAAGTAGAAAATCATGGATGCCATAGAACATTTTAAAACTGAAAAAGGAATAGAAAAATAAACAGACACCGTTCAGTAGAAGGAACTGAGAAGCCTATGAGAAAGAAGTGGCAGAGAGATGTGTAGAAATAGAAATGCTACAAGCCAAACACTCCAGCTTTAACGTCCATAAAAAATAATAATAGAGTAATAGAGTAATAGAGTTAATGGGGACCTTTTGGAAACAACAGCAGGTGAGAATCATGGACTCAAAGACTGGAAGTCAATTACACAGCCTCAGAAGAAATAACTGGTCACAAAATACTGAAACATGAGGTAGAGCAATAAAACAAATGATAAATTGAAAAGCACACGAACTCGAGGCTCAATTCTTAAAACTACTAGACGAAGAAGGAATTACCTGGATCACGGAAATTTTTAACAAACTCCATAACTTAAGAAATATTCCGGAAAAGTGACTAAAATCAGAATTTATAGCGTTGCATAAAATATCAGGAGCAAGAAAGTGCAAAGATATTTCTTTAAATAATTTACAAAAGAGTTCGTGTTCATAAACGTAATGAGCACATTTTAATGCTGAAGATTATAAGCGAATATAAGACCTAATCACACTACAGCCAGCAAAATGTTACGGGTATAACAGTACTGTTACCTGGGAACTATAAAAAAATTAACAATGGAACAATACACAAGAAATAAAACACCGTATAGGAAAAGCGATTGCAGTTTTTAAGAAAATAGCAAAATTTTCAAAAGTCACAACATATCCCTCGAAACAACAGTAAGACATCTTGATATTTAGACAGATGCTATGTCTTTTCTATATCTGCAATTCTGAACCCTGGAAGAATCCACAACTATAAAGTTTAGAGAAAGTATAGACGAATGCTCAAAATATCATGGACAACTTACATGACGAACAAGGAAGTGCTACAAAGAATGAGTAAGAAATTAGAAATCAAACGCAGAAAACTCGAGTACCTGGGATATGTTATGAGAAATCAACACAGGTACTCCCTGCTCCAATCCATAACGTAATAGTAAATCAAAGGAAAAAGAGACCTCGGCAGAAGAAGAATCTCGTGACTGTGGAACCTTAAAACTTGATTTGGGAAAACATCAACAGAATTGTATAAAACTGCTGGCAACAAAATCATAATTGCCAACATGGTTGCCAATATGCAAATCGAATAATTGAATGACCAGAGGACGCTAAGGCGGCAAGATTAGATGCGTTGACAATACGAGCTGAAGATTATTAATTGTTGATAATGCAACTTAAAGACAAAACCATAAAGAAAATAAAAACTATCTTACAGAAGGATCCAGTTGGGAACGAAATAAGAGAGATAAATGTGGGTGGGTTGTACTAAAAAATAATATTTGGAAGATAATCCTGGAAAAATATAAGGCTAGGATAACCGCAATCCAAGAAATTATATGTACCATGAGCAGACATAAGTTCATGACTGCCTTCGTCGTAAGCAAACGCCTTAAGGAAAAGATAATTGGTTTCGAACGATTAAGTTCCAGAATGTGCACTCTAAGGGTAGGTAGAATAGGTAGAAAACAACAGACTTCGCGAGGAAAGCAATGCGACCGGAGTGCGGGTGTTAAATTTCACCTCTTCAAGGAATTTGATAATGGGGAATACCCTATTTGAAAGAAAAGACATATATGGGGCAACCTTGGTATCTCAACCCAACCCAACCTAAGTATCCCCCGATGGACACACTTCCAACAAAATATATCATCTACGAATCGACGCCCATCACAAATCGTTCGTAGATCTCATGAACTTATAGAGGTATTGACTTGGATCATTTCCTGCTCAAATCTAGGATAAGGGACGCGAAAAAAATTGAATACCCACGTTTACACCAAGCTGCTGCAGAACGGAACAATTTCAAGAAGAGTAAACAACATGGACAGCTCTCTTAACAACTAGCTGAGAAGGTTTAACTGATTTGACACTTACTGTGATAGAGCAATATCACGGAAAAACATCGCCTATATATCAAAATGATCTAGAGGAGATCAAGGGGAAATATTAACGAATACAGAGAGGTGAGAAAGGAGGAGAAATGGATGCACAGAACGCAGAAGCAGAAGGGCGAAAGGAGGCAGATGTAGAGGAGGGACAACTTTAGGCAGCGAAAAGAAACGAGAACGTTTTTCGGTGGACTAAATGAATTAAAAAAGGGGTTTATACCCAAAACCACGTTGTGTAAGGATAAAAATGGCAATCTTGTGGAGGAACTTAATGTTAAATAGATGGACCCAGTATTAACTGACCCTCTGCTTAACGAATATACCTTGAACACCTCTCATTGTCAGTTTGGTTTTCGCCGAGGTATGTTCATCACTTCAGTTATACGCTCAACACATACAAAACTCAGCCGGCTAAATATCCGGAAGTGATATTTTACTTCAAGCTAACGTGGGAGGCTCATGTGCTGAACTTGATCAAGAAGTTAAATAAATTTTTGCAATTAGAAATCTGACAAATATCGTACCATGTGACACTTTGATTGTCACTTATTACGGATACTTCTACCCGTAGGTATCCTACACCATTCTATGTTCTTCTATGCTTTAGTCAGAGTAACCCCGACATAGAAGTCATCTTGCCCAGGTTTTTCGAATGCAAAGAAGATACTTGAGAGTCATGACTGGCAGAGCGAAATCCTCTGAATTCAATATCTTGCCGATAGCATTACCGTAGTGTGTAATCATGCGTTTTTTGTTGTAACATCTAGCTGAGAGAATCAGCAGGCCAAACTATTCCTCCTCAAATGCAAATAGCGTCCCTGCTGCCAACCAATTGTAATTATCCATATCTAATACAAAGCTGTATGACTCTATACATTTGTCCAATACTCTCCATCTAGCTCCTTCCTTTACACACATCTCTGCCTAACTTCTACTTCCCCCAAAGTATTCCTTACCTTATCCACACCTCTCATATCGTCTTGTCCACTACTCTTCCATCCCAGCTTCACTATCTCACAATCTCTTCTCACACTTTCAAACAATCTCACAATCACTTCTACCTCAACACTCACAGACCTGGCAGATTCAGGAAGCTCCAAACTGGGAAAGTGAAAGCCCATGAAGGAAACTTATGTTCAGAAGTGGACGCCGAGGTTTAGAGACAGGACAGCTGCAAGGAATAAGGATGATTTTTTTTATGTATGGCACAATTGTATAATACCTAGTAAATACATACTAATTAGTTAAATATTTTTGACATTACACAAAATTAAACAAGATAATGTTTTGCAGCTTTTCCCAGTGGTCCAGTCTGCTTTACATATAATATAGATAAATATTGTCATATTTTTAGAGTTTTCAGGTCGTAACACAAAACGCGCACACTGCGATACGCGGAATACACATTTCGATTATTACTGTTTTTGTTATAATTCTGTACTAATCGCGTTTGAATCGACTAGGGCACTAGGTCACTAAATCGAACGGCTTCATCGTCTGAAGGCAACGCAAAACATCCTCGTTGTAGAGAAGCTGGATGGCCTCGATGTTGGGATGAAACCGATGCTACTTCCAAGTCGCGATGGAGGTCGGTGTTTCTTATATACCAAGGTACATTCACTATACACTTTAGTACTTTGTGTTATAATCTTTGAATCAGACTTGCATTTGTCTTGCAGGTACAACCCCGCAGTTGGATTCCGTGTGTACATTTTGGTTTTAATACTTGCTTGTATATTAGCAACTTCTTTCTTAGTGATAACTTATATTTTCTGCCAATAAGCCAATATAGGTGTCTAAATTTGATATCAAGTTTATTTTTTTTTTACGCGAGCTTTCCATTTGAGTTTGGCATTCAGCGTCATACCAAGATATTTTGCGGTGTCGGCCATTTATAGTAAGGAACCATTTATGTATACTGGGACATAGTTTACTTTCTTATAAGTAAAATTTATGTATGTCGATTTATTTATATTTAATTTTATTAGCCATCGTTTGTCCAGTTTTCTATTGAATTTAAGGCCAATTGTAACTTATTGGCTGCCACTACATAGCCTGCTGATTTCTTTATATTCAGTTTTTGTATTTAATAATATAGTTCTTTTATTCTTACGCATGGTATATTATTCTGCTGATCACTTTGAATTATGCTAGGAACACTATTTAACATAGTTGTTGGACTGTCTGATGTAAAAGTTTCTTTCAGATGTTCAGCAAACAAATTAACTTTTCTTGATTGCTCTTAGCCCAATTTCCATTACTATTTCAAATTGGAGGTGTATGTGTTTTTGGAACTTTAAGCTTTCTTGTTGGCTTCCACAGAGAATAATCAGTACTGGCATCGTCAGCGTCAGTACATCTTCAGTAAGATCTTTTAAGTAATTTTGAATATTATTTTGTTT